TTTAGTTTTATGAGATGTTGAGCATAGAAACTCTGTCAAGCCCTTCTGGATTCTGGCTGACAGAACTTTGAGATAATAAATGGGTGTTGTTTCAAGCTGATAAATTTGTGGTAATCTGTTACAGAGCAATAGAGTACTAATAGAAGCATCAATGGAGGTGTCCTTTTGTGTTGTATGGTCTTTGTTTCTAGTTGAAAGGTCAAGACCTAGGTCTGGAAATGATTGAGGGAATAAGAACATATCTGAAAACATTCTGCTGTTACTTTTGTAGTTACTTTTCTCTGATTTTAACTTAAATTCTCTATTATCAATTTTGATGTATATGAATTTCACTGAATCTTGGTATGTCTGCATATTAAGTTTCAGAACCATTCCTTCAATGGTACAGATTTGCTTTGGGATTGATTCTCCTACTCTCTTAAAAAAGGTAGAGGTAGGATGCCAGAGTTCTGTGTAGTACCCTAATTTAAAAAATTATATATAATTATATTTATTTGTCAATAGACCTTTATTTTATTTATTTACATGTGGTGCTGAGAATGGAACCCAGGGCCTCAATGTGCTAGGCAAACACTCTACCACTGAGCCACAAACTCAGCCCAGTACTGAAATTTTTTTTTTGGACAAATTCATATTATAGTTTAGAATTTTTTTTTTCCACATTGGCAGGATTATCTGAGGCCTACATAATCACAGGAGATAATAAGGCAGGGGTTATAAACTCCACTGCCTACAAGGGCCAGGCATGTGACAGATGTACATGAAATAGTGAATTATAAGACTTAAATGCTTCTTTAGTCTATTTTATCTGCTGAAAACTGTGGCAAACACCTATTTTTCTCACCAATGGATCTGTAGATCTTTGAAGGTGGGTCTTGTTTAAGCTGTAGTCAGGTCTAGGTCTGCCTCACTTGCAGCAACGGCAATGGGAAAGTGAGGGAAAGATTTCAGATGGGCATTCCTTCAATATAATTTGCTGACATGATTTATTTATCCTGCCCAGAGGTTTGGAAAACAAGATACCTAGGTTTCTGTCCTAATACAGGAATTTATTAGCATTTATGGTTGTATTATTTTGAATTCTTTACTCACTCCCTAACTTAGAAATAAACATCCTTCTCTATAATGTTCTCTGGGATCTTTCATATGGCAAATACTCAGTAAATGCTGTTTTATGAAAGATTTTTTCATTTACTTGAATACCAAGATTTTTGATAACTATTTAATTTTTCTTAAATGTATCTTGGGCTTGTCATTTCCATGTCTCCTGCTTTTTTCCTGCCCTGTTCTCTCCTTCTCTTTCTCCTTTACTTAAAAAAATAGCAGTTATCAATACTAAATAAGATGGAATTGATGGAGAGAATCTAAGGTATAAATTCTTCCACATGCTGGTATAAAGAGATGTTCAAGGTTTCTTTCACAAGGCTAAGTACAACCTGGCCTGTCTGAGATTCTTTGCTTTTGCTTTTAGTTTGAGGATTTAGAGTCAAGTTATTTTTAAAACAAATTCTGTAGGTCTTAAGATCTAATCATATTTCTACGTAATTATAAAGTGAATATAAAAGTAGGTGCTGGGAAGGGAAGTCATTAAAAACATGATAGTTCCCACAAGCTGTCTTATCTCAGATCCCAGCTGGACAGTCCTTACATTTTTTTCTCCAACTATAGGCTTGGCAGATGTCCCCATCTTGAGTGTGCAGAAAGTTAGCTTGGTGAGATTTCTAGGTCCTTAAGGGTCCAGGTTTCATGTTCATCTCACATTTAATCAAAGATTAGAATGAGAAGGCTTCATTTATTCCTTAGTACAATTAGACTTTTCTGTAGATGATTATTTTTCTCTTCCTTGCTGATGCTTGAGATATCTACACTACTGATTTTCTTTCAGTTCTTTTATATTTCTCATGTAAGGGTGGTGAAACTTTGTCTCTAACTATATAAAGCTAATTGTATTTTACTGGTATTTCCTGTACGTGAATGTTGTGTTCACTGAGTTTCCAAGAAGCACAGAATTTAGACTTTTCTGGTTTGGTATGACTTCTCTTTCTAACCACCATTGGGGCTGAAGCTGAGAAGTGAACACAACTTGATGTGGTGTGGGTGCTAGAATTCAGGGCTAAATTGTCTGAAAATAAAAAAATATTAATGTTGAGATACTTTGACTCTATTAAGTAAACCTGAAAAAATAATGAAATTTTGCTCCAGGCACCTCATAAGATTGCATATAGCATAAAACTTTTTTTTTTTTTTTTTGATTCTAGAATAGAGGAAAAATATGTGAAGAGAATATAAAGCATTAGAAATTAGTTATAAAGTGTTATTATCCAAGCTCTAATCCAAGCACAAAATAAAGCCCAAACACACCCAGAGAGCTTTTAATGTTATTCACATGATATTTTACTTTCTCTAAGACTATACTGAATCAATGCATAAAAATAATGAAGTAGGGAAAATGCCACTTGTTCTTAACTTTTCAGATTAAAAACATTTTCTTTAAAGATGGAATAGTACATTAATACCTTATATTTTCATGGTACTTGATGCTTCATTGAACATTTATATATATATTATCCTAGTAAAAATGATGGCTTATTTAAACTTTCCACTAAAAAAAAATCAGAAGGGGTTTGGCAGGCTCATTAATCTGAGAACATATCTAAAACCCAGTACATAGATAGTATGTGTAGAAAGACCGGTTTTCAGTTCCTCCATTAGTTCTCACTCTGAAGTATAAGTATTTCTTTATTTTGAAGATCCAGTTTAAACTTTTACTGACAGAAGATTCCCTTGCTCTGATATCTGATGAGTAATTTGATCCATGTTGTTCCTAGTAATAAGAGTCCATGATAAGTTCTTGGATATCTTTAGTTTCCAAAGCAGGATATGTAAGATGATCTCTTAGGTTGTGGGAAGAAAATATTAGAACTTTTGTTGGCATTTCAATCTAGCAAGTGAAATTTGCTTTAACTAACAATCTATGGGTTGATCATCTGTGTGTCAGACTATCATTTATCAGTTTTGTCTGTAAGGGAGGGTTGCAAAGGGTTGACAGAGGCACATTGATTTCAGTAGTTTAGGATTAATATAGAAAACAACATGGCAACAACTTAAATGGATTATTTGGTAAGCAAATAACTTCAGAATGTATAGAGTAGTCATTGTAGATGATTTGAAGTTTCAGGAATTAAACTCAATGTGGGAGAATGCTATATATTTAAAGTACAGGTGTTTCTAACATGGCCCAGATCATCATATTAGTTAGATTCTTTTTCAATAACAAAATACACAAACAACCACTTTTTTTTCCATGTGTGCTATTGAGGTATAGATGTTATCAGGAAAGATATAGTTTCCAAAAAAAAAAAAAGACTTCTTGAATATAAAATAATGTATATGAGGTAATTTCCTAGGGTGGTAATATTTTCACTTGATAAGAATTTAGATTGCACATCTGGAGCTGAGGGTATAGCTCAGTGGTAGAGTGCTTGCTTAGCATATGCAGAGACCTTAATTTGATCCCCAGCATCACAAAACAAACACAAATCATAGATTGCATACGTGTATGCAATTGAAGTTCATCAAATGTTAGAATTAAGGTTTCTATATCCCACTCTTTGTAAAATTTATCTGAAAAGGAAAAAGAGAATCTTAAACATTAAATTCTACTTAATGATGTGCATGCTGAACTGTGGGGGAATAGTATATTGTTTTGACTTACTTTGAAGTGCATAAAAAACAAAAAAACCTAAGACGAATTGATAATGGATAGAGGAATATTACATGTATAGTAAAAATGGTATTTTTAGAGTCTAGGTGGTAGGTATGTGGATGTTTCTTATAAAATGTCTTCCAAGTTTTCTGTTGCTTTATCCTTATGCAATCTGTAGCATCCCAGAAGTTGATATCAGATGTGCAAAGAGTACTTCAGGAAGTATCAGTTTTGCTTAAATTTTTTTATAAAAACCTGTCAGGCTATTTAGTGTTGTTATAGCAAAATACCTGAGGGCTGGGTTCTTTATGTATAGGTGTATTTGGCTCAGAATTCTGGTTGCTAGAAGATCCAACAGCATGGTGCTCTCATTGTGGCTTTGTCAGTTAGCTTTTACTCCCTCTGACTAAAATACCTGACAAGAACAATTTAGAGGAGGAAACATTTATTCTGCCTCATGGTTTCAGAGGTCTCAGTCCATGGTTGGCCAACTCCATTGCTCTGGACCTGTGAGATAAGAACATCATGGTAGAAGGGCATGGTGGAGGAAAGTTCTCAGCTCATGGTAGCTGGGAAGCAAAGAGAAAGTGAGCTAGGAGCAAGGGACAAAATATAAACCCCCAGTGACCTACTTCTCCAGCTATACCCTTCTTGCCTGTAGTTACCATCCAGTGAGAAGTTCTTTCAAAGGATTGCTCAATCAGATTGATTCATCCACTGATTAAGTTACAGCTCTCAGATCATAATCTAATAATTTCACTTCTGAACATTTTGAACATTCCTGCATTGTCTACATAAGCTTTTGGGCAATACCTTATATTCAAACCCTAACAGTGGTGAAACTCACCCCACAGGCTGCATCACAATAGGGTGGAGAAGCAGGAAGGGAAATGGCTTTGTGCGGCAGGAGTAAAGTTTATGGGGAAGGCTTGATTAATAAGAACCTCCTCTTATAAGAACTTACTTACTCCACGAAAACAACATTAATCCCTTCTAAGGCAGTGCCCCAATGACCTAAATACCTTTCTCGTTAAAATTTTTTATCTGAACTACAAAACACAGAGGATGATTTGAGTGACCATTTTCACAGTTCTTCCAAGGATGTTACATAGAGTACCAATCTGGATGCATAGGGGAGAAGTTAATTCATTATATATAATGGATGTTCCAGGGTATTAGGGGTTAATTCTGTCCTGGTTAACTATTTCCAGGTTGTTGGATTGTTTTTGTAGCAAGTTCCTAAAATGATTTTCTTTGACTTATAGGCTTTATACAAATAATATTTGTTTTTTAGATTACAGGGCCACCAGGCTGTGGAAAAACTCAGTTTTGCATAATGATGAGTGTTTTGGCTACATTACCCACCAGTATGGGAGGATTAGAAGGAGCTGTTGTGTACATAGACACAGAATCAGCATTTAGTGCTGAAAGGTAAGATATTTGATTATTTTCCATTATAATGCTTTACTTTAATAACATATACAATGTGGAACATTAATAAATAGGTTAATATTTACCTGTTTTTTTGGAACAGAGAATGTTAGATTACTTTTTGGTAAGAGTTTTCCTTTTAAAATTGACACAGGACAGTTTTTTGTTTTTCTCTCTTTCTTACTGGGGTAAGTGGGGTTCCTGGGTAAGCTGTCTTGTGTTTTGAAAGTTGGTAAGAAAGAAGGTAAAGAAACAGGGAAGAATTTAAGTAAAAAATGAGGAAGATGCAAAACTAAAAAGGAAAAAGAAAATAGATAATTTGCCTTATAAGTAATTTCTAGTTGGAAGTAAAGTGTTGGTGAATGGATATGTCTGAGCTGGGATGCTTATGCATTTGGAGATTGATGTAGTTCTGTTCTCTTGCATGCTTTCTTCTGTGCATGTGTGTGCATGTATGTATGTGTGTGCGTGCATGTGTGTATGTGTGTGTAGAGCTGGGAATTGAACCCAGGGCCTTGCACTTGCCTAAGCAAGAACTCTTAACACTGAGCTATATCTCCACCCCAATTCTGTTCTCTTACTCAAGGTATACTATAGAGTTCTGACTCTTTCTAACCGTGTCACTATGAATCAGATCTCTCTTTTATTTCTTTATAAAGAGTACTATTCAGATCAAAGTGGACATGGACAGATAAATTCCAAATGAATTATTTTGCCTAGAGCTTAATACTTATCTTGCAATATATTTCCTGGTTATCTGTTCTGTCTGAATATATGCCACTGATCTGTCAGCTCTTTGGGTTTGTTTTATATCTTTCTATTTTCAAAGCCAAATCCAGTGACTGGTACATACTAACTTTCCAGAAAATGTTTGATAAATGAGTGAACTGGCAGGTGTTACTCCCAGATTGTGAAATCCGAAGGCTATTTCTTAATAAAAGGAATGAAGATTCCTTGAGAAATGGCTGAATCTGGCTCTGGAGCAGGTGTTTTTCTTTTTTTGGGGTAGGGGTGGTCCCTAAGGGTCAACTCTAGGGCCTCACACATGCTCTTCCTCTGAACTACATCTCCATGGAGCAGGAAATTTTTAAGTTGAGTTTTTTTTTCTTTTTTAAAAAATTTTTAATTGATTTTTAAAAAAATAAATAACAGTGGAATGCATTACAATTATTATTACACATATACAGCACAATTTTTCATATCTCTGGTTGTGTATAAAGTATGTTGACACCGATTCGTGTCTTCATACATGTACTTTGGATAGTGATGTCTATCACATTTCACCATCCTTGCTAACCCCCTGCCCCCTCCATTTCTCTCCCACCCCTCTGCCCTATCTAGAGTTCGTCTATTCCTCCCATGCTCCCACTCCCTACCCCACTATGAATCAGCCTTCATATATCAGAGAACATTCGGCATTTATTTTTGAGTTTGAAACATGTCAGATAGCAAGGAAGCTATAACAGACTATTTGATCTCTAAAAGATTTAGGAATCAACATGAAGAGCCTCTACTGACCAAAGATGAAACAAATTGAGCATCAATAAGAATAATAATGTCAGTGAATCAAAACATGAAATATTTAAATCCATGCATCTATAATTATATTAAGAGATAAAATTAAAAAGCTTCTACATAGCAAAAGAAGCAGTGAGCACAGTGAAGGGAAAGATTGCACAATGGGAAGAAAATCTGCCAGCTATTCATCAGGCAGAGGATTTATATCCAGAATATATAAAGAATTCAAAATATTCATACCAAAAGAACAGTAATTCATTTCTCAAGAGTACAAATGGCCTATAAATACATGAAAAATGCTTAACATCTCTAGCCATAAAGGAAATGCAAATAAAAACTACATTGAGAGTCTGTCTCACCCAGTCAGAATATCTGTTATCAAGAAAACAATAACAAATGCTAGTGGGGATGTTGGCAAAAGGAACCCTTACACACTGTTGGTAGGACTCTAAATTAATAAAACCACTATCGATAAGAGCATGTAAGTTTCTTAAAAAACTAAAATGAGAACTATCATATGATCTAGCTTTACCACTACTGGGTATATACCTGAAGGAAACAAAACCAACCATAAGACAGATACCTGAATACCTATGTTTATTACAGCACTGTTCATCATAACCAAGCTATGAAATCAGCCTAGGTGCTCATCAACAGATGAATGGATAAAGGAAGTTGTGGCATATTTATTTACACAATGGAGTATTTGTTCTTGAAGAAGAACAAAATTATTTCATTTGCAGGAAAATGAATGGAACTGGAGGTCATCATTTTATGTGAAATAAACCAGACTCAGAAAGACAAGCATTGTATGTTTTCTCTCATGTGGAATCTAGAATAATAAAAAAAAAAGATGGTATGAAAGTAGAAGTGGAACTATTAGGGAAGGGGAAGGAGACCTGGGGAGGAGGTAGAGAGGGTAAGAGAAGGCAACAGGGAGGGTGGATACAATCATAGTATGTTCTATGGTTATACACATGTATGAAATTTTCACAATGAAATCCATTATTTTTATAACTAACATGTGTTAATAATTATAATAAAAAGAGATGAAAAGGAACTCATTGATTACCATTGGAGAATTTTGGAGAAGCAACTTCTTATTTTAAAACTGTATGGAAAAAGTTTTGGGTGGGGGGTGGGGGTACCAGGGATTGAACTCAGGGATGCTTGACCACCGAGCTATGTCCCCAGCCCTATTTTGTATTTTATTTAGAGACAGGGTCTCATCTCACTGAGTTGCTTAGCGTCTTGTTTTTGCTGAGGCTGGCTTTGTACTTGTGATCCTCTTGCCTCAGCGTCCCAAGCTAGTGGGGTTACAGGTGTGTGGGATTACAGGTGTATGCCACCGAGTAATAAATAAAGAAGGAATGTTGGATTATCTCCAAATTACAAACTCTTAACAATCTAATGAATCTCAATATTAAACATCAAAGACTGCTAGAATCAAACAAAAACAACATCACTGGAGTATCCCCGATGGAAGAACAACCAAACATGAATGTGATTAAGCTGTCTACCAACTACCAGTTTACAGCATATATACAGAAAGGAATGTGTTAAACTATTCTAGAGGGATGCAGTTAACAAAATCTGAACTACTGGAAATTATAGAATAAAAAACCTGGTTTCTTTAACAAATAAATTGTAAGATTAAAATAAAAAAGGAGGAGGAACCTTTGAATTAAAACAGGTTTAAAAGATGTATTGATCAGTTGCAATGTGGATTTAGAGAAGAGATAGAACAGAGAAATATGAGACTCAAAGAGAAATATGTTTTAGTCAGTCTGGTTTAGTATTGTCACCATTTTGTGTTTACAAAGTAAGCCTTTTAACATGAATGAAAAAGTGTTTGAAGGATTAATATGAGGAAGGATTAAAAGATTCACATATATAGGATTTTGGGTTAAGTGATAAAAGTGGGAAATTATTTTTAGAATTTTTTATCAAGGAGGAAGTAGTTTCTATTCCTAGTAGCAAAATAAAATAAAAATTAAAAAAAAGAAAACAGGAAGAATAAATAAAAACTATTTGAGTTAAAATGCATTAAAAGGAAAAAAAAGACAAACAAGAAAACCTTGTGGGTGAAGGTGATATACTTAAAAGCACTTTGGAAAGATTAGTTATATTTTTTTAAAGCAGTATACTAACTAGCTTATTTTACATGTCCTTTAGAAAATAATCTAAAATATTATGTTAATTATGCTCATTCATCACAGACTGCATTTGTATCTCCAGAGGGTTTAACAGTTAGATAATAGTGTAGTGTAGAGTTGACCCCTGGGGGACTTGGGGTCTGCTTTGGGAAAAAGGAAATGCTAAGAAGGCAGAGTTCTGAATGTCCTTCTTCTAATGGAATCTGAAAAGGTCTGTTTTTCTTTGTTTTACATATTGGATTTTTGCTTAAAATTTGATGTTGTCTTAGTTACCATATTCTTTCATATATCTTGAGAATCTGGATAAATAGATTAATTCAGTGACCCATCCCCATATTTTAGCCTATGGAAAATTTGGCAACCATAACAATTCCATTGTACATGAATTGAATAAATAATATATTATCCTTAATAGAGATAATTGGAAAAAATGGAACTGGGGGTTAAGAATAAAAATAAGGAATAGCCTGGCATCGTGGTGCATGCCTGTAATCTCAGCTACTCAAGAGGCAGAATTGCAAGTTCAAGGCCAGTCTGGTCTGGTCAGCTTAGTGAGATCCTGTCTCAAAAAAGAAAAGAAAAGAAAAAAGATTGGGGATATAGCTCAGTAGTAGAGCACCCCTGGATTCAACCACAAGTACCACACACACACACACACACACATACACACACAGAGGAAGGTAATATGGATAGTAAATAGTAATAGAATTTCTTGGGGGGGGGGAAAGCTTTGAAGAAAAATAAAATAACATGGATAAAGGAAAATAAAGTTTGGAACTGCAAATGAGAATAGTAGGGTAGATAGTGTGAGAAAAAACTGAAGGATCTGGGGAAGCAAGAGATGGGACCAATGACCCTGGAAGGTGGGATATAGGACTGGAATTAGGAGGTAGAAATGGACATTCCTGAGTTACAGTGATAGAAAAGCTTTGAGAATGGGGAAGAAAGAGTTCAGCAAGGGAGGAAGACATTATTCAAATAATCACTAAAATATAAAATTGAATGTATTATAACTAAGGATGCAAAGGAGAAATACCTGTTGTTTTTATATTGTGGGGGAAGCACTGGCTGAGCAGCTGAATTAATTTTGTGTGCATGTCACCTCTCGGTACCAAGTGGCTTACAGATCTTGCTATCTAATTTCTACAAGACTTTAGATTGTCACTCTTTCTGAATCAGGGTGTATAGATGAAGGCATGGTCAGCAGTAATAGTGTCCAGCCATGACTTTGGCTGATTCTGAAGTTAGTTCCAGTGTGGTCTTAGGACCCCTGACCTATTGGTTAGTTGGTATTAATCTAGGATCTTTGACCCAGAGGGCAGCCAA